TCAAGCAAAACAAACTTCTGCTCCAAAAAAAGTCCTCCCTCTTGTGGCGAACTTCTAAAAAAATAAAACACGTCCTCACCTAAAACTACTGCCTCCCCCCCTTATGCCGCTGCCGGGTCCCCACTTGTCGGCACCGGGTAGCAGTAAAATAGTTCAAAATCTCGTAGGAGACAAGTTTCTTGTTACCATGTATGAGTCTCGGGACATAACAGGGTAAACGAAACGATATTGCAGATAGTTTAACAAGGAAAGGGACTCAAACACCCTTTGTAGGACCTGAGCCTTTCTGCGGTATAAGCAATAACACAATATTAGGGGAGATTAAACATTGGGCCGTAGAAGAATCGGTAATTGAAACAATTATCTCTTGGGGCTAAGACAGGCTAGAATACTTCTGAGTGAATATAATCAGAAAACATCAGAAGCCTGTATCTGCTTGAGAAAGAGACCATAGTAAACTGAGAGTAGTAAAAGAAAAAGATAGTATAGATTCTGTGAGGACAAAACCTCAATTTACATTAATTAAATGTGTAATACTCCAGAATCCAAGGGCGCTATACTTAGGAGCATATCAAATTGAAGAGGACGATTTCCCTAACTTAAAGGCACTCCAAATCCTACTCTTCCTTGAGAAGACAGGAATTATAAGACAGAACGAGGCCCAATAGATCTTTTTGATCGAAGTGCCACTATTTATAAAATTGATGTCTTTTGAATAGTTCCGTGTATTAAACGTTGTTACTTATTATCAGTTTTAGGGCCAATATTTTCACCTCTGAGTGAAGTTGAAAGTAACTACTTGCTGATTAAACTAGGATTATTGTTTGTTAATCTGTCAAATAAACCTACATGTAACTTTACTCAGAGGTAATAAGATCGACCCTTAGAATTATATGTAACCTTTCCTAATACATGCGAAATGTTAAGGACATAAATAACATGTCTAATCAACATTTTATACATCAAACTAGGCCATGAGCGGTTAGTTTTAAATTGAAAAAAATTTAAGAACTGGTTTTATTTAGGTAATTGAGAAATATGCATTTTAAAGAAAATATAGACATTAAGCAGGCAGCCAAAAATATTCGTTTTTATTTTGTAACTTATCACTTGTTTGCCTTATATTAGAAAATTATTTCTTGTCTTTTCACGGGCCATAAGTGAAACTTTCTTGACATTGACAAACGTCAAAAAGTGATCTACAAAGATAGTACAAAAAAACATTTTCCTACGACCACTTAGGAAAGTGACACATATCACACTATATAGTTCTATGAAAAGTGCCCTATATCACACGCGTATGAATAAGAATTTACTTGCCACCCGAGTGAGAATAAGTTACTTTCCGCAGTAGTTGTCACAAAATGTCAAACACCTAATTTCTATTTTGATCTATGTAATGTTCATATTAATACTAAAATCGATACGATTGTTAAATAATTGAAATCGTTGTAAATTAGATCCTAGATATTTATCTTTAACAATTATTATTAAAATAATGTTTGCTCTTTATTCTGGTTAAATATATAACCGATTAGATCATTCAATTGACACAAGGGCTATTAGCTCAGGTGGTTAGGACGTTGAACTTATCAACTTTGCCATTTTTCGACCGCGTTCGAATCCTGGCGGGGCAGAATTTTTTTTTTTTTTGTTTAGAAAATATGAAAATTGAATAAATACGATTATTGTTGATTATTTTTTTAAATACATTTTAATTATAATAGTAATAATAACCTTGGTTTTACATTTTTTTGATGACATTATTTTGTGGTCGTAGGAAAAATATTGTACATCACTTGTGTGAAAAGTGATTTTCCACACTCGTAATGTAATATACTATTGTTTATACAACTTTCCGCACTAGTGATGTAATATACACTACTTTTGCAAAAGTAAAGCTTCATTTTCGAATAAGAGGCGGACGAAAAAAATTAAAACTCACGATGATATTTTTAAGAATACTTTAATTTTTATTGAATCACAATAACACTCTTAAAACACTGTACACATACATCAAGGCGTTAATACATGAAAAATACATTCCTCGTACTTCTTACATTAATGCTAAAAATCCAAAAATTTTAATTGTAAAGATACATATAAGTAGTTTTTAAATACATCTAGGTATCACAGGCTTAAAACGTTCAAAAACTATACTAAAAAAATATATGTATCATTAGTAGTAATACTAAGGCGGTACTGCATCACAATGGTAAGTTATCCATTCACGTCTCTAGTCGGGTCAGTCCTGAAGAAGTAGCCGAAGAAGTGATCGACAATGACCGTAAGGTGCGTGACAGATCTGTATCCACCTCTAGAGGTTAGCAGAGGTAAAATAAATGTCGCAGAAGGTAGCCCGGTGTCATAGTACAGGTGAGCTTGAAGAGCATTGACGAGCCTCCCCTAGCCTAGTCCATATTGTAGAAAAGAGAATCAAAGCTGATCAAGATCTGATTAAAAACAGATCAAGGCTTAATCAAAAACAAATCGTTTAGATAAAAATGAATACAAATCAATATCGATACTGTGATTGATCTATGTATATTCAATCTTTTCAGCTTTTAATCAGCTTTGATCCTCTTTCTCTTTCCTACAATATGGACTAGGTAGGCGAGGCTCGTCAATACTCTTCAGGCTCAACTGTATAGGGTGACACACCTGTACTTATGACACCTGGATACCTTTTTTTACCTTCTGTGACATTTCTTTTACCTCTAGAGGTAGATACAGCTTTGTCACGTACCCTCCAGACATTGTCGATCACTTCTTCAGGACCCAAGCCATCCGACTACTTAAATGGATGGATAGCTTACCATTGTGATCCAGTACCGCCATAGTATTACTAATAACATTTGTATTAGACGAGCGGTGCTTTTGCGTACAAAACTTTTCGTTTCAAAGGTTTCAAATTGTTGCCTTTGGTTGATTGATATCAATTTATTGTTGTTTGCTACCTCCCCAGTTTACCTACATAGTAAGTTTGTCAAAATGTGATAATAAATTACTATATAGTAAATGAATAAATTCATGTTTGATGGTACTATTAATTTCTAAGAAAAATCCCAAAACCCGTCAGTTTTTGTTTCTGAAACAAAACTCTCAGACACAAGAATTTTATTTATCATTAGATATTGAAATTCATCAAATTAACGGGGTAGTTGGCCCTTTAAGAAGTACAATTGTAACGCCAGTTTTGTTTTAAAAATAAAAATTGTATTTTCTTAAAAATATAATAGAACATCGAAAATGAATGTATTCTTTAATTATGTAGCTTTTATGATGGGAATACCCGTGTAAAAATTTTTTAAATAAAATTTTCTTTACAGTAAATAAACAAAATAAAAAAATCAATTGTTCTTTAGTCAAAAATTATTAAATGAAAAATGTTTCGTCCCAAAAAAAAATTCGTTTCAAAATTTATTCAAAAATTACTAAATAAAGTGTCCCCACTCTGCCTGTAGCTGCCTTCTTCCTACAATACCGAATCTATCCACTTTTTGTTGGTTAAAATATTTGTTTTGCAATTTTATGTCATACAAGAAATGTTAAATTTTATTAATTAAATTTTTAATGTTTTATTTTCTTTTTCAGTTTCTAAATAATACTGTACCTATAGGTAAGTGATTGTGTTCAAAATTTAATATATTTTTTATTCTTTTTTATTTTATTAAAATATTTTATTTTAAAATTTAATCATTATTGTTTTTTTTTTAAGTTTTTTTTTTTAAATGTATATTCCTCAAGATGTAAAAATAGGGTGTTAAAAATTAATAATACTTTTCCTAATAACGCATATTCAAATTTTAAAAATATGTTTTTTTTATTCTAATTATAGTTTTTGTATTTTAAATATTCGAAATTAAATTATTTTTTTTTTGCAATTATTTGAATTTTAACCAATTTTTGTTTTATTTTCCTTTGTTCAAATTTTTAAATTATTCATTTTTACACAATTTAATAAAAATATAAATAATTTTATGCTCCACTTCAAGAGTTCATACCTTTTTTTGACACAAAAGACCCACCTCGTTACAAATTAAATACATTAATCGAAATACAGGGTGTTCTTTTTATATAGTGATTAACATTGGCCACTATATTGGAAATAAAACGAAAAAAAAAAAAATGTGGAGCCATTAATAAGTAAAAAAGTTGTGCATTTAAGTGACCCATAATTAGGGCTGGGCGATTATCAATATAAATAATCGATTTATCGCAAATAATCAAAGTAATCAATTTATCGATTTGAAATCGATTACTAAAAAATAATCGATTTATCGCCAAAAATATCTGAAATAATTGATTAATCGAAATAATCGATTAATCGAAATAATTGGCTATTCGAAATCGATTACTCAAAAATAATCGATTTATCGCAAAAAATATCTGAAATAATTGATTAATCAAAATAATCAGATTTATTGAAATAATCGATTAATCGAAAGTCATTAATAGAAAAAATCGATAAATCGAAATAATCGATTAATCAAAATAATCGATTAATAGAAATATTTGGCTATTCGAAATAGACGATTTATCGAAATAATTGGCTATTCGAAATCGATTACTCACAAATAATCGATTTATCGCCAAAAATATCTGAAATAATTGATTAATCGAAATAATCGATTTATCGAAATAATCGTTTTATCGAAATAATCGATTTATCGAAATAATCGATTAATCTAAAAAATCCTTAATCGAAATAATCGATTAATCGAAAAAATCAATTATTCGAAATAATCGAAAGTCATTAATAGAAAAATCGATTAATCGAAATAATTGATTAATCAAAATAATTGATTATTCAAAATAATTGATTAATCAAAATAATCGATTAATCGAAATAAATGACTATTCGATTAATCGAAATAATCTATTGATTGAAAATAATCGATTAATCAAAAAGAATTGACTAATCGAAAATAATTGATTAATCTAAAATAATCGATTAATCTAAAATAATCGATTAATCTAAAATAATCGGTTAATCGAAAATAATTGATTTCTCGTAAATATTTGATTTATCGAAAATTAAAGATTATCGATTTAAAAAAATTACTGGACTAATCAATTAATAGATTAACTGATTAATAATCGATTATTTTGCCCATCCCTACCAATAGAACAATTCCATACTTACCTTTTACGAATTATACAGAAAAAAAAATGATATAAATATTATTTATTTCTGTTTGTAAAAGTAACTTTTATGGAACACATTGTATATTTAAAAAATGTTTTATAAATAGTCGTAATGCTAATATATAAAAAAAATAGTGTAGCTTTTGACATAAGAGGCCCGTTAGTCGTGAAATATCAACGTTATACCACGTCAAAAAAACCACCCTGTATACAGGATGTCCTGAAAATAGGTACATTAATTTTAACCAGTAACAGAACTCTTAACTTTTTGTAAACCTTATACAGTATCCATTAAATAATCTGTAAGTACCATATGGAATCTATAGGTAATACATGGAATCTGTAGGTACCATATATGAAAAACTGTTTTATTATTTATATTTAAAAGGTATTCTCAATAAAAGTTGATGCATAGTCTAAAACCTAAAATACGACCATTAAAATGTATTATAGTCATGCGTCTCTTCAGGAAAAGTCATTTTTGAATATTTTCAATGGACATGTCCATATTGTCCATGATGTAAAGTCTTATGCAAGCCAGTTAAGGGCCCTCTTTGTATTTTGTTGGATTTAGATTTTTTGTTCTTATCTGTTATATAACAACTTTCATTAATACAATATTTATTTTCCTATGTTGTAGACTAGTTTATGCCCTAATCGTTTTAAAATTGAATATATTAAATGTTATTTAACAAAAAGTACAATATTTGGTAGAGCTATGTATATAAACGTCTCATATGTAATAAATCATTGATAAAATACTTCCAAAATTTGGATTTTTTTGGTAATTTTTACACGTTTTCATTTTTATAACATATGAAACGAAAATTCCAAAATTAAAAATCAAAAGTCTTTGGACATCATTTCCGAGCGGCCCATCACTAATCATATACAGAAGTGTGTCCAAAATAATTATTAAAAAAGTTGATAATTACTTGTTAAAATAGTCTAAAACAATTTTTAAACTTTAGTGTTTTTTTTTTGAAAAAGTAATTATATTTTGTAAATAATACCTATATTACGTTACCTAGCAGCAAGTTATAAAATTACAAAATATTTTTAAGTATTTTCTTTTGGCCAATTTTATATAAAAATATACTTTTTTTTTAAATCAGTACAAATGGTATTTATATTATCAGTCGCTACCCTTAATGAATTACCATGTAAATAATAATACTAATAATAATATTTTTTATTAACCAAACCCATAATACAAATGAATCGTCAACAAGTAGTTTGGATATAAGCTAAACTTATTCAAAACTTACCATAAAGCCATCTGCATTTTTCCGGACTCTCCATTCTCTAACAATGTTCATGTATTTTTTATTAATAAAAAAAAAGTAATTTTGACAGTTTTTACTAAACAACAAATGAACTAATCACCGAATCTTTTAATCAAAATTATCGCTTTATACCAGTTCTGTTACTGGTTAAAATTACCGAATTTATTATTAGGACACACTATCAAGTACTAAAAATAAAAATAATTAATAATCAGAATCGACACTACACGTAAACTCTGAAAACTCCATACTCAACCAACCTATACAGATGCAGTAATGCTGAAAAAGTTGTATAAGCAGCTCCTGCTCGTCCAAGAATTCGATTTTCTCGATCCTGTGCCTCTCCGATTCCGTAAAGGCGTAATACACCTGCACCATATCCCAACCGCTGCTTCCCATCCAACCGTTGTTTAAGAAACGCGCTTTCTGCATATCCAAATTCTTGCAATGCGTTATGCCGGCCAAATTGCATCCCCTGGCTCGCAGGTTGCCCAGCATCACCTCGCCAAAGGTGTCATTCATGTTGCACATTTCGTAGTTGACAAACAATCCCGATTTGAATTTGGACGAGATCCATTTTAAGAGTCTGTTAACGCACTCGTTTTCGATGTATACTAGCACGCACTCGGCCAAAAAGAGGGTGGGTCTATTGAAGTCTACTTCGGCTTGTTGGATTTTCGTTTCCAGTAGAGCTATGTTTCGTATGTCCACCCCGATGCAGTGGTAGTTGCCTGTAACACAAATTATTGTCAAATTTAATTCCGAAAACAAAAACGACCGACGTCGGACTTAATGCAAATTAAATAAATGGTTACTTATATCGTCACCTAACTTCCGCCTTCTTTGGAAGAATAAGGAAGAGTAAGTTATCAGAAATGTAATAAAAGTCTAACTGATAAAATTCAAATTTTTTAGAAACCACTCTGCCGTTATTGATGATATGTACATGGTATCTTGTTCCAGACTTTCATAATCGGTACTGGCTATTAAAATGTACAGAAGACAAGTCTATCACATTTGATAGGTCATTAATGTAGAGGAGGAATAGCAAAGGACCTAAGATACTTCCTTGTGGTACACCCATATTTATCGATTCTTGTTCTGAGAAAAAGAGTCCACTATTTGTTTTCAGACAGACTTTTTGAGACCTTTCATTCTGATATGATTTAAACCAATCATATGCAATTCCACGTACGCCGATAACGTATAATTTTTTTAATAGTAATTGGTGGTTTACACAATCAATGGCGTTTGACAAGTCTAGAAATACACCATGCACAATACAGCCGTTCTACAAAGGAAAAAATTGCTGTAATTGTAGATTTTCCTCTTTGGAATCCATGTTGAGTAGAGGTAATAATTCCATTCGTAGCAAGAAACTTAGTAAGGCGTTTGTTCTACAAAGGAAAAAATTGCTGTAGTTGTAGATTTTCCTCTTTGGAATCCATGTTGAGTAGAGGTAATAATTCCATTTGTAGCAAGAAACTTAGTAAGGCGTTTACTCATCGCAATTTCAAAAAAATTTTGAGAAGCTCGTTAGCAAACTTATAGGTCTATAGTTTTCCATAAGGAACGGATCTCCTTTTTTTAGAATAGGTTTCACCACTGCAGATTTTAGTTTTGATGGGAAATCATCTTTCTGAAAGGAATTACTTATTATGTAATATAAAGGCTCAAGAATATATGTAGCAACATTTTTAATAAGCACATTATGAATATCATCTTCACCTGCAGACAGCTTGTTTTTTAAATTTTTTATTATTTCCGATAGCTCTTCTATTGTCACATCTGCTAGACATATAGATTGTGGATTATCTTGTTGTATTCTATTTATATCTACATTGCCCATATCTAGGTCTCCTAGAATAGATGTTCTTATTTTCTCCCCTAATTTATTTTATTCTTCTCCAATATACGATTTCGTCTGCCTATTTTTTTCATGCTCACAGTTTAAATCATGCAATACTTTCCAGTTTATCTCTGCTTGTAAAACCTAAAGCTGGTAATTGCTTGTTTAATAAAACTAAGTATACAAGCTTATAGATAGTATGTACAAACAAAATCATCAACATTTACATTTACTAACTTTGGTGTGTTTACGCCAGGTGATTTTTCCCCTTTTGAGGCTTATTCTGTAACCATTTAGTAAATTTTAACTACCTGGTCAAATGGTTACTTATAACTATGCCATTTAAATTTCAACCCAAACCCTTACTTGGAATTCCAGTTTAAAGGGGTTATGATGGACAAGTAATGTTATTTTTAACAGACATGTTATTTGTGAACAGCTTGTTATTTCTGTGTTCATAAAATAACAGACCTGTTAAAAATAACACAGATTGTCAATCATAACCCCCTAACTCTTTGTTATTACTTATTTTATAACCAGCCCTGGTAAAATAGACCTGGAAACGATGTAATATACCTAAAAGTGCATTCAAATTAAGCCCAACGCTTTTGACACAATTGACATATCCATTGTTCAAAATAAATTACAGGCATTAAGTTTCAGGGGCATAATTTTAAAATTGCTTAAGTTCTTATTTAGATTCACGTCAGATATGTGTAAAAGTGGGTAACTGTAAATCAGAATTGAAAAGTCTAACCCGAGGAGTACCACAAGGCTCAGTTTTGGGACCACTAATATTTTTGTTATATGTAAATGATCTTCCTCAACATGTGTCTGCAGATTATACCATACTCTATGCCAACGATACAACTTTAGCATCTCATGCAACTTCTCCAGATGAGCTGCAGCAGAAGTTTCATTTAGTAGCTTCAGATTTTTCAACTTGGTGCAATAAAAATTCCTTAATCTTAAATTCTGATAAAACAGTTGCGCTTCAGTTTTTTTCAAAGAATATAATTTAGGGTAATATATGAGTAAAGATAAATTGCAATGATGTCTACTTGTCGCAGATAACAAAATTTTTGGGGATAATGCTATATAGTGATATGAGCTGGGAATCAAATATTAATTACATCTGTAAAAAGGTTAATAGCGGTTGTTATGCTGTCTTCAATTAAAACAGATATTTACATTTAAATTATCTTGCTAAAAGAGTATTTATTGCACAAAAAAGAGCAATTAGACTTATCTTCAATCTGGAATCAAGACAAACATGTAAGGATCATATTATTATTTATTATTACATACAAAAAAAAATGAAGCTAAATTTTTCAGGAACAATGATTGTCACAACTATCCCACTTGTAATGGCAATATGTTTGTACAATTAGGCATGTATCGCATGCAGGAATTCAATTATTTAATAAACTGCCAGCTGATATTAAAAACATAAAATCGATTAACAGCTTTGAACAAACATTAAAAAAATGTTTTTATAATATTAAGGATTATTACTAGCTAACGTAATATACAGGGTGTTTCATAATATATGCGCAGGACTTCAGGACATAATAGCTCGTCCAAAAATATAGAAAAACGTTCCTATTAACTTACCCTCTAAAATGCACTATTTTCGAGATACAGGGCGTTGAAATTGAAAAAAAAAAAAAAAAAAAAAAAAAAAAAAAAAAAAAAAAAAAAAAAAAAAAGTCTACGCCACTGGAAAAAGTACGGTTTTGAGACACCCATTTGAACCGCCAATGTTTTCTACACAAAAAAGGTACTCTTGGTCATACGCTCTAAAGTCGACCGTTTTCGAGAAAAATCAAATTTTGTTTCATCAAGTAGGTTTTAAATTTTGAAATTTTAACCAAATAGTAGATTTTGCATTACTTTAGACGACATTTATACTGACAATATTATTGAGTTATTTATCTAGAATAGTTCAAAACATTCAGTACAACCGTCTTCTACATTAAGTGATAAATAATCTACCTGTTTTTCTACAAACTATCAATCAAATATCAATTTACATTAAGACCTTACCCATTAAAAGGTCATTGCATAAAAATTATTCATTTCTATAAATATACATAATGGTAGGGCGGAAGACTCTGATCAATAGCCCTTTAGGATTACTTCTAATAAATATTGTTTCTTCTTCTACATAAGGGATCGAGGGAAATACCACTCAACCCAATTAGGGTGAAACTAGTTACCTCCTCAAATGCCAAATCAAAGGGTTTGTTGTATCAACAGAGTCGGTTGCAAACATGCATTATAACATGGCCTTTAGGGATCGACCGATATTATTTTTTGTGGCCAATATCGATATAGGACGATACCGATATATTAGCCATACATTTTTATTATGAATTTTTTACTATAAAACTTGGGAAAATTAACTGATTATGGGGTCTATTCTGTAACAATTCCTTTATATTTAACGGCCTTTAAAAATATTTTCTTCTTTACTTCTGTCATTATTTAAACGGATCTTTAAAATACATTAGAGGACTATCTTAAAGAAATCTGTTTAAATAATGACAGAAGTAAATTAACGAATACGAACATATTTTTTTAGGCCGCCAATATTTTTAAAGGCCTTTAAATATAAAGGAATTGTTACAGAATAGACCCCTATGACCCCTTATCATGAATTCCTAATAAATCAAATCAGGTAAACCAAGAGGTTCAGGACAATGAACCTGACTCAATTTCTTAAATTTGTTTTGGAATACCTTTGAAGAACTTACCGGTATGACAGCAAGTAAATCACCATTATAAAGGAAGAAGACTGATACTGATATAAATAAAATTGAAGGTGTCCTTAAAATGTACATTAAATTAGATAAAATATCAAAAATAGAGATTCCTTGATTTGGTAGGCCCAAAAATAAGACATTTTTCTACTATTATATACTTAGCACCCCTCCACCAAGTAGTGTGGCTAATGAACAGCTATTCTCTTTAGCTGATATTGTATAGTGGGATTCATTAAAGGTTGAGACCGGTCATATTGTAAAATTGTGAACAATCATGATGTGAATGTTAAGTTTAGGATAATAAATGTAAATGTACAGTCATTAACAAATAAAACTAACCGGATTGAATTAATTATAAATCAAAAATCGCCAGATATCTTATGCCTTTCGGAGACCTGGTGTAATGATGATAATATCAACATATTTTGTTTTGATGGATACCATCAGGCCGCATTCTCTAATAGGACTGATAAGGATCATGGTGGTGTCTTGATACTTGTAAAAAAATCTTTGTTGTATGTTATATCGCGATTTATTAGTGACAAAAGTGAAGAGTTAAATTTTGAATGTTGTTCAAATACGTTTAGTTTAAATGGACTTGGGTATTGTTTGTTAACTATTTATCGGGCCCCAACAGGTAATCTCGATACGTTTTTTAATAAGATTTATATGCTTCTTAATTATTGTTATAGTCATTTCAAATGTATCATCATTTGTGGAGATTTCAATATTGATGTTTTAAAAGATTCACGAGAAAAAGTTTTATTAGTTGATTTGATGGATACCAGCCAGGAAAGTCAACTGACCTAGCACTGGACGATCTAAACAGGCTGCTTTCAAAGTCAATAGATGACAAAGAAATCGCAATAGCCACTTTCTTAGATATTGAAGGAGCTTTCAACAATGCCTCAACCAGGTCAATAACCAAGGCTCTAGAAGGGAGAAACGTCCCAGTAACAATATGCCAGTGGATCACTGCCTGTCTAGAGAACAGGATTATTTTATCCACTCTAGGAAAGGCAACCATACAGGCAAAAGTTACACGGGGCTGCCCACAAGGAGGAATACTATCTCCAATGCTGTGGTCAGTTCTCGTGGACGACTTACTCAAAATATTGTCCAAAGAAGGCTACCAGTGCCTAGGATACGCAGACGACCTAGCAATCATCGTCAGGGGGCGATTTTCAGGTACAGTTTCGGAGCGATCTCAAACAGCTCTAAACATAGTGAACAACTGGTGCAAAAAGGAACAATTGTCCATCAACGCACAAAAAACAACAGTTGTACCATTCACAAAAAAACGGGTACTCACAGGTCTAAGACCACTAGTACTAAACAGCACAGTTATCCCATTCGTCACAGAAGCCAAATACCTCGGAGTCATATTTGACCAAAGGCTGACATGGAATCAACATCTCAAAAAACTCACACATAAAGCTACAATAGCTCTCGTAAGCTGTAGAAGAATATGTGGGAAAAACTGGGGTCTAAACCCCAAAATGACCATATGGTTATACACAAGGGTAATAAGACCCATGATAACCTATGGCGCAGTGGCGTGGGTAACCCAAACTGCGCAGGCAAGTGCAATAGGCCAACTCACTAGCATTCAGCGGCTTGCCTGTCTAAGTGCTACTGGGGCCATGCGCACTACGCCGACCGCAGCAATGGAGGTATTACTAAATCTCACGCCATTGCACATCTTCATACAAGGAGAAACCAGGTCAGCTATTCACAGGCTAATGCAGGGACAAAACCCAATAAGCCAACTACATAGCGCCGACCACACAAGGCTATATCAGCAAGTACAAAGGGATAATATTCTAGCTATGCCTACTGATAGAGCCATAACCACATACAAATTTGAAAGAAATTTTCAAATTCAAATACCAGCCCGAGAATCCTGGAAACAGGGACCTCCCGTACAGGCTGAACTCGTCTGGTACACAGACGGTTCAAAAACCAAGGAAGGAGCCGGTGCTGGAATCTATGGACCTAAGTCGAAATCAACGATTTCACTAAGCTTAGGAAAATATGCAACAGTGTTCCAGGCTGAGCTAATAGCCATACAACACTGTGCAAGAGAAATATTAAATCAGCAAGTATCAGGCAAAACTATTGCCATATACTCTGATAGCCAAGCAGCTCTAAAGGCAATTCTCTCACCAGAAATCAAATCACGACTGGTGAAAGACTGTCTAGAAGACCTGACAGAGCTAAGTAGTCAAAATAAGGTGACCTTAGCCTGGGTTCCAGGCCATGAGGGATATCAGGGCAACGAAAAGGCCGACGAATTAGCCCGAGAAGGCTCAGATAAGGCCATGACAGGCCCTGAACCCTTTTGTGGAGTCGCTAAGGCACTGTGCAAGGCATCCATTAAACAATGGATGCAAAAAGAGTCTCAGGAATGGTGGAACAACTATCCAAGACTGAGACAGGCCAAACAGTTCATCAAGGAACCATCGGCCAAGTTTACGAAAGACCTACTGGATCAAAAACGTCAAATCGTTAGGATAACAGTAGGCCTTCTTACTGGACACTGTCGCCTCAAAAGGCACATGAGTGTCATAAATCCAGCAGAAGAAGCAACTTTGTGCAGGTTCTGTGAAGAAGAAGAGGAAACATCATTCCACGTCCTGTGCCAATGTGAAGGCTTGGCTGGAATGAGGTTTCTAACATTGGGCGAAGAAAAGCCAATTGCATGCAACTACATGCGGGAGCCACTGTCAAAGCTACTTAGTCTAATAAAAAAGACCAGGCTAGACGACATACTCTAAAACAAACGGAGTCCCACAATAGATCTGAAAAGGTCGCGGTGGACAAGGACAAATAACGTCCAACTCCTAATCTAATCTATTGTTATAGTCATTTCAAATGTATCATCATTTGTGGAGATTTCAATATTGATGTTTTAAAAGATTCACGAGAAAAAGTTTTATTAGTTGATTTGATGGAGTGTTTTAACTTGCGTTGTTTAAATAGAGAACCAACTAGAATTTGTACTGACAAAAACGGTAAAACGTCGCGTACTAAAATTTATTATTTTCTCACAAACTACCTTTCTACATATATGGAAACTGTGGTAGACCTCTGTATTGGAGATCACCTAGCAATTGACGTGTCATTAAATTATATAAACGAAAAATGTTATGAAACTGATATCAGTGAAAAAATACATTTTAGAGACTTATCAGAGGCGAATTTACTTAATCTGCAGCAAAAAATAAGTTCTGAAAATTTTGATTCTGTGTATGAATATTTTGATAACATAAATCTTGCCTATGAAACATTCTTAAATATTCTAAATTACTAAGTATATAGAAGTAAACTGTCCGGTTGTCACAAGATCTGTAAAAACAAATAAAAAAAGTAACTGGATAACTCCAGATATTTTGAGGATGGGAGCTGATATAAGGAATTTATTTTGGTTAGTAAAAAATTCTAATGATTTGAATATACATGTTAGATACAAAGAAGCAAAGAGTCAATATGTCAATAATATAAATGGAGCAAAAAGATCTCATTTTCAAAAGGGATTGCACAATAAAACTTTTCAGCAAAAACAAAAATATATATGGAAACAGGTAAATCACCAAGATGGTAAAACATCAAAAGGTTCTCAAATTAAACAAATTGAAATAGGAGGACTGTCAATTATTGAACCAAAACAAATAGCTAAAGTTTTTGCAGAGCATTTTGCCACCTCCACAAAAAAAGCACTACAGTCTCATTTCAATGATTTGAATTTTAAAAATTTTACTGCGTCATGTGTCTCTCAGACCTTCTACTTTTCTCCTGTTGATCATTGTGATGTAATTGACGTTATTCACTCATTAAAAAATGTTAACTCTATGGGCATTGACTGCATTTCCACAAAGATAATAAAACGTATTAGTCATCACATCTCTCAAATTTTAGCAGACTTAATCAGTCTATTCAGCTAGGTATTTTCCCAGATTATCTGAGAGTAGGATATGTAACTCCTATCTTTAAAAAAGGTGATAACAATTTAATTGATATTTATAGACCTATTACAGTGCCTACAATCTTAAGCAAAATCTTTGAAAAGTGTGTCCACAAAAAAATGCTAATATTTCTTAAAAATATGAAATAATATGTAAACATCAAAATGGATTCCTTCCAGAAAAATCTACTGAAAGTGCAGCAATAGATCTTTATAATTTCATACATACTTCTATCGATCAAAAGTTGTTTGTGGGTGCGCTTTTCTTTGATTTATCAAAGGCTTTTGATTCAATCAACTTAGATGTCGCTATTCAAAAATTGGAAGGGCTTGGTTTTAGAGGTAACTTTTGTCTTGGTTGTCATCTTATATAAATAACAGACAGATCTATGTCAAAGTCGGAAATTGTAAATCTGAACTAGAAAGTGTTGATATGGATGTGCCTTAGGGATCAATTTTAGGACCTCTAATTTTTCTATGCTACATAAATGATATGCCTAATCATATTAACTCAGAAAACATAATTTTATATGCAGATGACACAACAATTGCCACCAAGGCACAATCAGTAGATGAATTAATTAGTAAATTAAATGTTTTAGCTAATGAGTTTACATCATGGTGTTATAGAAATTCTTTAATTGTTAATTCAAACAAAACCGTTTGCCTTCAGTTCTACTCCAGAAATCAAATTACCCAGAATTGTAAAATAAATGTCAATAATGCAGAAATTATGCTCTCAGATGTTACAAAATTTTTGGGCATACATATTGATAGCAATATGGATTGGGATAGCCAAATATCTAATGTTTGTAAAAAATTAAACAGCGATAGTAAAATTAAAATCAATATTTACCCAAAAGCAACTGCTTAATGTCTACTATGCTTTAGCATATTCTCATATATAATACAACATTATTCTTTGGGGTGATGCAGTAAATGCATCTAAAGTATTTATCTTACAGAAAAGAATAATCCGGCTTATTTTTAATCTAGAATTAATGCAAACTTGTAAATATAACTTCAAAAAATTTAAAATATCTTCTTATAATGAATCAATCCTTTGAAATCATGACTGTTATTGCTAAATTTATGTGGATGTTAATAAATTAAGATTCTGAGGCAATACATAAAATCTGTAGGTAAGGAAAATCTGTAAAAATTACATCACCTTTCTTAATGTTTCTCTAGCTTATAGGCGATTTCTTACAATTGACTCCTTAAGTTCATGTTTTTTCTTTTCTCTCCACCTAAGCATGTACCTATCTGCTCACAAAATAAGTAGTAGCCTGAATAAGTACGAAATATCGCTTTCACATACTTCTTTTTACAATTTTAAATTATTGCAGTTTTATTTTCTTATTACCTTACTTAAATATCATCTATTCCAAGACAAATAAAATGAAAACTTACCATTAACACCTATAGAGTATATCAGCTATCATATATGCTTTGCGCAAGTGCATGTAAAAACTAGAGTCAGCATTAGATCGAGCAGGAAACAATATCAGAGTCGCCAATTTATATGGCCCAACCAAAGTTACAAAGTGGTCTGGGCATATAAACTCACAATACTGATGTTATTCGTTTCCTGTTTGCATAATGCTAAATCTCTGTAGTTTTCACATGTACAAAGCATATTGGAAAACATTCAGTGGTCAACACTGTATATTGGACAAACCAGTGAATAATGTAAACAATAGACTAAAACAACCAGATGATTATCGAAACACATGTATAGTTGATTTCTAAAACCTTTAAAACTAATATAAATAGAATCCGATTACAATTAGAACACCTCTACTTCATAACCATTATTTCTAATTTCAAATATATATGATCTAGATATAACTGTCAATAAATGAATAAGTAAATTATTGGGTATAAAAGAATATTTCCTATATTCCCATAATATTAACTGTCACTATACCCTTAGTAGGCAGCTATAGAAAATGAATTACTTTACCAAATAATGATGTAGCTGTATTGTAATCAGATCCTACCATAACTACATTTTAAACAAATAGGAGAACAGGCACATCAAATGAAAAAACCTCGATAAAAAAACAAAATATTTTCCACTCCAATTGAAACTATATTATATCGAAGTGCTTATTTGATATTAATATAAAATAACATTAGTAATTACCTGCATGTAAATCTGTAGAACTGAGCTTTATTTCACCGTCCTGATTGTGTATCCTGTCCAACAAAGGTTTATTCCTTTTAATCATATAACACTTCCTCGAAGTAACCGAAGGAAAGTCGATTTCTACATAATTAGCTATCTGTATGCCCTCGTCTTTGAGCTTCCAGTACAAAGTATCGAAGCCCGATCCGAAATTAATAATTTGCGCGGAACTGCCCGCTTTGTTGATGAATTTTTGAATGAAATTTTCAATACCTTTTACGCGGGCATAATAGCCCCTGTTTATTTCTGGGGCTCGTTTTTCAACATGCTTCACGAAATGTGATATGTAATCGTCGCTCCAATACCCCAAAATGACGGCTCCTCGCTTGCATTCGCTAGCATCGTCATTAGTTGCCATAACAGGTGCATCACCCATTTTAAGAACAAATCTGCAACGAAAATTTTAGGTTAGGTGAACTGCCAACGAAAATATCTCTTAAATTAAAATCAATAAGGTATTGTCAATGAACTTTACGGATACTTACGTTCTTTTTTAGCGGAATAAATCAACTTTTCAGACGATCCTCGATTAATTATCTTATGAATCTTCGGCGATAGGAATAATGCAGGTCAAAATTATTGTTTGCAAGTCAGCGGACAGAAGACAGAATCGCTGCAGCGCATTTTCGACGAATGCTGGCCTAGATCGTATGCAACCCAATGAGCAGTCGCGAGTTTTGAGTTGCCTACGCAATATCGATAATAAAGGTGGGATAATACGGTTCCGGTGTAAAGGTGGGGCGAGAGCGAACGATATTCCTCACTGAACTTGCCTTGAGGTTTTGATTTTAAATTCAAATTACAACCAGTGACGTAGACGTAGTGCATTCAAATAAAATGTTTCGTGTTTTACAAAATAGGGGGTGGGTGGCTCAGTGGTTGGAGTATGGACTTTCGAATGCACGGGTCCGGAGCATGGGCGTACCTACAAAGCTTTTGGCGTAGTGGGACAAATGAGGAAAATCGTGATAAAATAAAAATGTTCATTTTAATAAATCATCTAATGAAAAAGTACTTAATATTTCAAAAGGCAATCTTCGTGAATATTTTTCAAAGCGGCTTAACTTAAAACAACTCAAACTATTTACAAGTTTTCTGCGTACACTGCAAGCATGAGCATGCAAGATCCGTTGCGTAAGTATTTCTACAATCATTGTTGATAGGGTTGCCAACTTTGTTTTTTAATTTTTCTGGACAAGAGTAATATAAATTCTGGACATTTTTATTATTGCAAAAAAAAACAATAACAAACTCAAATAAACAATTCGACAAAAACAAAACTAAGTGATAAAAACACGGATTCTTTGGGTAAATAGGACCCAATAAACACAGTTAATCGGCACCGTAACTAGGCCGAAAGAGGCTTGCCAGATGCCGGATTCGGCCCGATATACGGGTACAGCTTCGGCATATAGGTAGGGCATGTCCACCCAGCCGAATGTCGACAGCCCATTAAATTGTAGCCGTGTTCATACAGTGAGCATCATAACTCGTTACTGGAGTCTTGTTAGAAAAATCGCCGAGACAATTCGATTTTTGATTTCTACAATGTACATTTTTATATGACTAGTTTAACCTTAATTTCATCCCTTACTATGGGGGGGAGCAACCCTTTCGAAAAATTTAAATGGCATGGGGTGGTGAGTGATAGCTCATTTGAAAGGGGGTTTTATTCTCTATTCAACCGTATAAAATGAAATTTGCTTCAATTCTCGACTAATTATTGTTTCAGTATAACTAAAATTAACGTAGCGCACTCATCCTTAGAATTAAAATTCGGCCCTGCATGATATCGGTTTTGGTTCAGACGTGAAGTAAGACTTTTTGCCATTTGATAAGGACACTGCGTTAGTTTAGTTGCTTTTCTGTTTGTGACGTTTTGTTATTTTTAAACATTAATAAATCAACACGTAATCAAGCATATTTTAAATTTTTTTGCACGGTTGAATAGAGAATAAAACCCCCTTTCAAATGAGCTATCACTCATCTCCCCATGCCATTTAAATTTTTCGAAAGGGTCCCTCCAGTAAGGGACAAATCAAAAATCGACGTGTTTTTGGCGATTTTCCTAACAAGACTCCAGTAACGAGTTAGATAGGGGGGTAAGACTTATGATACTCACTGTATATCTATATATAATTCGGCCCGTAAGGATGCCACCCATGCCGCCCGGCTAGCCAAATATTCACCGCGTTCGGCCTGTAAGGATGCCTCCCATGTCTAGAAAGCCAAATATGGACCATAATATGTGGTTTCTACTTCTAAATTACGCCAAATGGTACGGTCATCCCGCCTCAGAAGAAACCCCGACAATAGCAATCCGAGTACTCGGCTTCCCGTACATGCCGGTGTCAGGCCGAGCGATTGCCGACTATTTGTGATTTACTGGGGAACTAATGATTAAATATTTAACAAGTACTAGAAATAAAAAAATTAAAAAAAACCGACTTCAAAAACGTGCAGATGCCATCACCACATCTTAACTAAATTTATAGGGACCACTCCTGAGGTACTCTCTTACTAACAAAAAAAGAATCATATAAATCGGACAAGGTGGTAAAGCATTATCGCTAGACATACATAAAAAATGAAGAGTTCGAGGATTTTCTCATGGACCCAATTATTAGATTTTGACCAAATTTAAATGGGACTACCCCTAAAGTACCCCCTTTCTAGTAAAAAATAATCATTGAAATCGGACACCGTGTTAAAGAATTATCGCTGAACATACATAAAAAAAATATTGCGACGAATTGAGAACCTCCTCCTTTTTTGAAGTCGTTTAAAAAGAATATAAAAAGTTACAGCTACTTAACAGTGCGTTTAAAATTATATTTTTTTAGTTTTTGCAGCTACTATTAATTTGCCAATGTGACTATTAAATATAAGAAATTGGAGATATTATTTGGAACATTGAAATTAAGTATACTTAATAAGCGTCCTACAATAGACTGTTGTAGGACACTGGACAATACATCCCAAATGGTGGACGTCCATCAAAATGCAGGACAGTTGGCAACCCTAATTGTTAATCTGAGCCAGATTTTCACGCGATCTTTCAATGGTAGCTGTAAATGAGACTGGATAGTTTTTCCTGTTTTGGCGACGCAGCCCTGAGTTACTGTTCATTTTATTAGTTCATCACTGCCTTCTTTGCTAGAACGCATGTGTTTTGAAATTGCAGTTGATATTGTTTTTATATGCGCTGCACACTTGATTACTTCCAGGGTTTTAGACACAACTGGCTCCAGCAGCAGGACCGCCGAGAGTCAGGTGGGGCCCATGCGGCAATTTTATAAATAAATGAAGCCCTTTTAATATCACATTTCTAAAAAAAAAGTCCTTAAGCAAAAACTTAGATCCTTTATGAATTATCTAAAAAAAAGTCCTCATCTTGTATTTTAAGCCAGCGCTCCTCTCTTTTGTGGTGAACTTCTAAAAAAATAAAACGTCCTCACCTAAAGCTGCCGGTCCTCCCTTGTGCCGCTGCCGGGCCCCGAGAATTTGTCCTGCCAGCCTCCCTCGCATCGGCCCTGTCCAGCAGGGAGTTATAAACGTTTCAATACTGTCTTACTGTCTATAATACTTAAAACCAATAAATGTTCAGATTGTTCCAACTGCAATTAAAAAGCCACTTTTCTTGACTCGGAATTCCTATTCACTTCTCGAGAAAGCTTTTCCGGACCTTTCACAATTTTAATGAAATGCTTCTTAAACAATGAACCTAAATATTATATTTTTGAGACCACCGTTTATACAGCAATTGAAATGTTGGTGTATATTTTCGACGCAAAACTGATTCCCTAAAAAATTAATCTTTGACAGTTCAAATACAGTTACGTAATCAATAAAAACTCCGTATCACAGAAACAACGAGCGACTATTTCTCTCCTGAAAACAACTATTCCTTTGGCTAATACCGCAACAAGTATTGCATTATATTAAAAGATGAATGGCAGATATAGAAAATAATTTTCAATACTCTAACTTCGATTTTGCTTCCTAAGGAGACGTCGTCATGCTTGAACCAGTTTCGTCCTTATTATAGGACTCTTCAGCAAGAAATAGACAATCTCGACTCCAGTCTCTAATGGAGTCTGCCGGATATAAGAAATTCGCTCGCACACATTAACATAGAAAGAGTGTGTAGATATTCATGATAAGTAAAGACAATTTTATATTTTAAAAATTAATTGCAACCACAGAGTGTCGGCCACAGAGTATCGGCCACAGAGTGTCGGCCACAGAGTGTCGGCCACAGAGTGTCGGCCGCATAATGGTTGGACTCGGTCAACTATGGTTTTTCTATTGTAAACTTCGGGTGACAATTTCTCGTGATAATGATTCACACCCTAATGTTTAGCCATTGTCTAATGACAATGGTTTAGCCAAAATTTTTTGAAAACCATAGGTAAAACCATCAATCGGTATCAAATAAGGTTTACCTGTTTGACTAGGTAGAGGATGTGTATTTAATTCTCCCAAATGGGGTGTAAGGAATGGTAGTATATGTATCTGAGAGGATTTTGCTGAGCCAGCATTTGCCTATTACTAGAATAAAATCTAGGCAAAACTCACAGCAGGTCAGGCGACAGTGGGGCTCGAATAATCATCCACTACCTTCTGAATACGAGGCAGATGCGTTATCGCAGCGCCACCTCGTTCGGCAATAACTAAGGTAATGAAGGATGTGTATTTCCTCCCTATTGGGTGCAGAGGGCTGCTATAGGCTTTCCTAAGCACTTATTCAGTCGCACTAGAGATATCAAGGATCGGGTTTGAGGGGCTGGATGAAAGGAATAGTGATAGGTATCTGAGAGAATGTTACTGACCCAACATTTTCCAATTGCTGTGAGTTACCTTTTCATAAAATGCATAGTAGGCCAGGCGGAAGTGGGGTCGAATTATCAAGATAGAATGAAGTGGAGACGAAATAAACCCTTTTGCGATTTCACAGATGTATGCACTTTAAGTGACGGAAAAGTATAATGAAAATGGCGACTTTAGTGGTACTTTGATTTCTTTTAAGCCAATACTTTTAAATTTGGAGACTGACGTAATGAAAATGATTTCATATCATTAAAATGAAACTATTTAACAAAAATGACACTCATTTTCACCAAAAATGACTAGCTTTCACTATTTCGAGTTTGACATATAACGTAAAAATGTAATGACACACCTTGACTCTTTAGCATTGTTATAGCATCCATCTCTTCTTTATTCTATCTCAATGGGTCGAATACACGTCCTTCTGAATGAGTTGAAAATGCGTTACCGCAGAGAGCCACATCGCTCGGTATGTTAACCAATTAACCCATAAAGTATTTACACAACATTCAATGGTCATCAAATCATTAGAAAAAGATTATCTTATTATTGTACAAACCCTTAAAAAGAGATTAGAAATATTTTAATAAGTACCATTATGGTTTTATTAAAATAATAAGTTTAGGAACTACTTATGTTATCATTAGAAACAGATTATTTGATCCTTAGTCCATTTATTCTTAAGACGAGATTGACGAGATTAGAATCGAGTAAATAAGCAAGATAGGAAAATTGGCTTTTATTTTGTTAATATATTTAGGTATAGTACGGTAAAAATTATATAAATAAAAAATAATGTAAGTTATTCTTCATAAAAAGTTGTGGGTGGT